AAATCGACTACTAGAGTTTTTTGCAAATAGAGACCAGGACTTCTGTGAGAGAGGCATTTTGAAGTTACCTTTAAAAAGGCAACAAATCATACAACAAAACGGTGCATATTTGACCCAAATGGGACAGTCCGAAGCATGTTAAATAAAGTCCTGAAGTTCATATAAAAATAATGGATTTCTTTTTCCCCAAACTAATATGTATATATATATTGTGTATTTTCAATAAAGTTAGTTACGCTCGTTTCGTCTCTTTACGATTTGTCGCTATAGGGAATAGTTTTCTACTGTTTATCTTTAAAATCACTGCAAAAGTGAAACAAAAATACTTAGCTGCGAAAACACACAATGTCTTCAGATCGTTAGTGGTTAGAAAAGCGTTTGCGTTTTGAACCATTCATAAACAATGTCTGCAACACTTGTTATAATATCAGCTTTTCAGACAAGTAAAGCCAAAGACAATATTAAGAGTTGATTACAGAGAGCAACCGCTTCTGAAGAACAATTCCATTATGCTGGTGCTATCAAAAGCTGGATTGCATTTAAGCATCACCAGGGATGACAGTTATGATTAGATAACCACACACACACAAATTCGCTTATATTCCGTTATTGTATAACGACTTTTCCAAATAAGGCGTTGTATGAAAAGTGTGTCGAATCGCTTCCGATAGCGTTCCACATTAACCCAAGACACGTTGGTGTGACTTTCTTCAAAACAACTAAAAATGTACTCCTTGTGGATTGAACACAAGAATGCAGACAGGCCGACAGGACAAATTTATATCGAATCAGAAAAGAATTCTTCATTCTGAAACGATTGGCATAATAAAAGCGCGGAAGTCTTTCTGGGTGTTGTGTGCATTGTTACAAACTGAATAGAAGCTTGCACGACAAGTGGTGCAGACTGTAAAAATATGCGAAATTCTCCAACTCACCAACAAGATCTTCGAAACTTCCGGCTTCTACAATGACTGCAAAGACTAAAGCAAAAAATTTTGCAATGAGAGTAAGTTTTGAAATGTTCTAGCGCAGCTCCTTAGCCCTTGATGCTTCTTAGCGTGGGTTGAAGAATTCAGATGAAACTCAAATTTCGTTTTGTTATATAATTAAATGTCAGGGAGGGTTATAATTATGTTCACTGACATCATCGAATTAGAAAAGTCGAGGGGATCTATCAGAAAGCGTTCTCTTATCAAACAATTGTGTTAACATGAAAGTGGAAAATTAGAAGTGTAATAGCTAGCTCGGAGGACTTGGCAATACAGCAACTGTTACGTCAATGTCAATGTCATTATCTCACTTATCGGAAAACTCATAGCAAAAGATACGAAATGCCTTATCTGGTACTATATAAGTTCTTTTTTTCGGTTGCGATCTCCGCTAAGGGGCATGAAATTGTCTGATTGTGTTTGCGTAGCTCATGGTTAAAAGGAGAGAGATGTTAGACAAGACCCGCATTAACATGTAATTTGCAAATCTAGGACAATGCTATTCCCGGTGATGGTAAATGGCGCCATATCCACCTCGTTCGCCGTCGGGCATCGTAAAATTAAGCCTTGTATAAATATGTATCCACGTTAGACTGCTTCTATGCTATAACAACCTAACTACAGTTCAAATCAGTCCATTTCTGCCGTTTTCCAGTGGTAAAATGATAGAGATCTCTCTACAGGCTTACGCGTGTAGAAAATTGATCATTAATATGTCAACAGAGGACCTAATGACTAGCCACTATATAATCACCTTAGATTATTGTGTGCAATACGCACGATCGATAGTAAATGTACCGCTAAGCTATTTGCTTTCCATACTTTCTAATAAGCCACATCTTATTTTTGACATTATTTGAAATTTTTTGGTTTTTCCTTTGTGTGGGAATAAGTACCGTCAGTAAGTTCCGACGTTGCTCCAAATATTAGGTAGTCCGAATTATTAATCACAGCTTTTCATTGTGGAAGAAAGTAATTCTTTTTTAATACAAGGAATATTGTTTTGGATGAATTACGTTTCCCTATAATCTCACGAATCGTTATGTATCGATCAGTTTCAACGGTTACCAATGGTGTTTGGCCTACGAGAACACGGTAAAGCGATCAACGGAAATTTCCAGAACGAAGTTTCGCAAATAAATTTTGGCAAGAGCGTTTTGCTACAGCGTTGATTCCAAACTACTTTATGCGCTTCTGCAGCTGTTTTAACCTTTTTGAAATAAAAAATTAATATACGTCTTATACGCTCACACAGTATCGATCACTTTGGAAGTTGATTACAAAATAAACATAAGCCTGCTCCACATAACTATATGTACCTTTAACGCTAATTATATCTCTAGCTACCCGAAAAAAGTTATTTTATCCTGGCGTTGCGGAAAACCGCGAGAAGTTTCCGGACTACCTAGAACACTCTACGATTGCCTACAGCGTTATGCATTTCTCTTGATCGTTTTAAATTCTTTAAGTGTTGCGGTAACTGCTTTGTAGAAAGCTTGCGTCACTGCCGAGAGCAACAGTTCTTCCCTACGGGGGAGGATTGAGAATAATGACTGAAGCAAATCATTTTATTGGATCTTACTGTTGTTTCTCGCCCTTTAAAAAGCGATACTGTCTTGTAAGCAATAGTTACCTAAATTAAAAATTAATATGCAAAGGGTGCAACGCCTACTTACTATCAGTGCTAGAATTAAAATTAACAATTATATTAACATTAACGTGATGCATTACGATATGACATGAAACGCTTCATATCAATTTTGTTTAAACGACACAAAATTTAACTCTAACTTTAAACAATAAGGATTTAAATCCATTTCTGTAATTAATTACGTTGATCAAAAGCTCTACACATCAAGTAATAATTCGTTTAAGCTGACTTTCCTTTTTCATAAGTTTATCTTTCTTCTTTTTTTTTATTTGGTTAATTTGTTTCCGCTTAATTTGTCTACATTTTTATTTAGTAAAAAAGGCGCAAGAACAAGAAATTATTCAAATGACAACAATAGCGGTAAAGAATTCCATTTACAAATAATTGTTTATGTTAACCGAAGTAAACTAAAAAAAAAAAAAAAATGCGTTGTTCGTAAATAGGAAGAAAAACTAGTTATTTTTTGTTTTTTTTTTTCATATAATTTGTGCATATTTGTAGACAAATATGGGCTGAGAACTAGTATTAGCTATGAATAAAGCTTAAGACAGAGAGTAAAAAACACCATATTCTACAGATTTTTTTTTAAGGTTTAGGGTACATTTTCCGCTTGCCTGAAACTAAAAAGGGACGCTGTGTACTATAAAATTGAGCAGTAAAGTATGGGAGGGTGTAATATTACAGAGATGAAAGATCGCGCTAAGCCAACTAATAGACGGGGGGAGTCTTAACAAAGGGATGATAGAAAAAGGAAGAGGCACAGTTTAACGACAAGTCAACAAAGTGAAGTCAAAAAAATTGATTACAATTCAAAACAGACCCCCTTAGTTTCGATATAACTATTAGGTTAGTAGGACTACCATTACTAGCGAAACCAATATGTATTTAATTAAAAAGTCAATATTCGGTAGTTATTTCAAACCAGTTTAAACTAAAGTTATGTGCAGTTGAGAACACATATATATGTGTATACGTTAGCTTATAAAAAATTAGGTTAGTAGTATAGTGAAGGGTGTGAAGATAAACTCGAATTTAACTAGTAAAGACACCTACCATTTCTGTTAACATACCTCTGTTAACGACTTAACAGAGTTCATGTTAAACAATTACAATTGAGATATAGTTGGTTTGAAAGCCTAATCCGTCCATATTAAAAAAAAGAAAATATTTTTGTGGACATTTCATGAATCAATATAAAACTACCTTTCAAGCAAACTAAACAAATTCAAAGTTTGCTTATGGGAAACTATTTTTAACGGTATTTGAAATTTGGTATGTTAGCGAAAACTGCATATGAAAAAACACCCAAATTTGACACTCTAGTGCGGCCAAACTAGAAAATGTCGCCTATATTCACCTATATCACGTG